GATTTTTGGAATAATGAAAATGACAACAGATTGCTTTATCAATGCAAATGCATACTAACATATACACATAGCAAAGGTATAATTATCTCTACATTTACGACATTACCTACTAACCCTTGGGACTGTTTTATCACGTACTTTATGAAATCGACCATTGGAAAGGAGAGCAAAAATCGACCTCTGAGGGGTAGTTTAACCAATAGACGGATGTCCAATGTTCAATAAATGTTGCAATTAGCTGGTGGACGTTTATCAGTTACAATTAAGTACCATGACAAAATGACATAAATCTTCTACTAATTACGGCATTTTATTGATAGGGAGACGTTGTAAGGTTCAGGTTTTGCAAAATTAATGCAATAGACATTTGGGGGTATTTGGGGACACGGTGGCGAATAAAGACATCATGCTGACTTTATTGTCTCTTCATGGACGGTTTGGAAAGTATCCATCATCGTAAGTCCATGAACGGGAGGGGTCAGTCGCAGGCTACATGGTTGCTGCACAACTGTATTGTCCTTGTGGTTGTAGTACGTGTCAGGCTACCTATCCCGTATGGTTCTCAAGACAATAACCAGGAAGCAACGCGCACAGGTGCAAATTACACTATTCAAGATATGCAAGACGCAAAGCACAGTTATTAATCAAATCATTCGCAGAGTATTCGCAAACAGTAGATATAATAAAACCGCTCACATAAAAAACTGGTGGACGTACCAACCACTATTAAATAATAAGTACATGATACCAGCCCAGAAAAGAACAAGAAACAATCATGCCTTTAAATATCAGAGTTATCAACCAAGAATTGAGGTATTTCCCCAGAACTATCGTAGAGTGGAACTCGTTGCCACTAAGCACAGTTGGGGCATTATCACTAGAAAGCTTTAAACAACTGCTGCAATTGAATGTGCAAAGATTGAGTGTAAATAGTCGTTCGGTGTGATATAGCTGGCTGCCGCCGCGCCGCGTGCCTGCGAAGCTGGTTTGTTACGCCTAAGGGCGGTTATACCGGCTATACTGATACAAATACAACAAGGACATTATATACCTTGGTCAGGACAGAATTATGCATGCCATGTATAACTGGAATTCCTTCTCATTAAATGATACTGCATAATTAATTACATCACAAGTGTTGAAATTAGAGCTATTAATAATGAAACATCTATCTAATCTATAGTTACTGAAGTAACGATGACCAAGAAGTTTATTTGTACTGAATGAGGGCATCATACGGACTTCATCATATTGTCTCTTCATATGTGCAGTTTGGAAAGTATATATCACTATCCGTCCATGCACGAGAGGACTCAGTCACCTAAAAGTATTGGACAACTGTATAGTCCTAGTTGAATTGCATTCCAGGCTATCTATCTCGTATGATTCCCAACGCAACAATCGAAAACAGCACGCACATGTGAAAATTACACTCTACTCTGTTCATACCCTGGAAGCCAAAGTCTTTTTTCAGCTGGTCTAAATTACCGCTACGGGGGAGTCTAGCCCGGGGGAAGTTTGGATGGCCGAATACTCCCCACGGGCTCAACTCCACCGCCGCGGTAATTTAGGGCTTTTAGGGCTTTTGGCTGCCGGAGGAAACGGTTAGCGGCCCGTAAACTTGTCTCACACCCAGGGAACTCTGTTCAAGATATGCAAGACACAAAGTACAGTTATTAATCAAATGAGAGTATTCTGCCAGATAAGACTATAATTGAATGATTCTGCATAATAGAAGGGAAACCCTGTACCCCCCGTGTGTCATCTCTCCAGGTTGAAAAATCACTATCCAGATCCAACACTTCATTCATTCATTCATTCATTCATTCATTCATTCGTTCATTCATTAATTCACTTATCCATCCATTCATTCATTGCGAAACAATTTCGCCCTGCCGGGCTAGTCTTCCAAAGCTCAAACACATACATTTAAAATTGCATAATTACATGGCACAGAAAAATATTTTAAAAAGACAAACATCACAAAATGAAATTACAGCCGTAGACAATGGCTAAAGCAAAGTCAGCGGGGATGGTTACCAGACAAAGATGATCCATTGCCAGCACGTACCAAACGTTACCAAAATAATTTCATGCCATATATTGTCAATCTCTTAAATGACGGCATCTAGACAATAATCGTAATCTTTTAAATGTGAATCATTTACTTTTAGTTCTGTTTTGTAAACTTTTAGCCCGGTTTTACATGTAAGCTTGCTTGAAATTTTTATATGCAAATGCGACCTCACAGTTCAGCTTACGAGATTCAAAGAGTTTAAGACAAATAATGAATAAGCCTTTCATATATGATAAACTACATCACTAGTGTTGGAATTAAAATTAATAGATCAATCTTATCTATATTAAAAACGATGACCAGGAAGTAAAAATATTTGTTGGCCTTGTTTGAAAGTGCTCACGTAACTTTTTTAAATATAGTCCTGAGTCATAGAAGTTCTTCTGAAGGTTAAATAAGTGTACTTCTTACACATTCTGCTGCAGTTTTCCATTAACCTGGCAAACCTCCGCAAGTTCTGGTGATTATGGTAAGTGCCAGAAGGTCGGGACCACATGAGGACCGGCAATACGTCTTTGGCAGGCTCCGCGAAATCGAAAAGGTGCGAGGAGACGCGGTAATGGGGGCACGTCGGCAGCCGGCCCCCGGACTGGCTGGCACCGGCACCGGCGTCCTGGCAGTAGCTTATCGAGCACGGACATGTGATTACTGCAAATGTACCATACAACACCTCATCATAAGAACCAGTATGCCACTAATCATGAACTATGAAATGGATGCTAGTGTCACGGAAATGAAACCTACAGTGGTTGACAGACGAAAAAATGTCCAGACTATGCAAAATGATTAAATAACTGATGAACCTATAAACCATTAAGTACCTATTACCAGCTCAAAAAAGAACAAGGAACAGTCATGTTTAAAGTTAAAACGTTTGGTTCAACACAAAAAAATGTCTTACCTAGACCTTTCGACCAGTCACTCAGGTCTTCCTCAGTAGACTGACCCAGTGAAGCTTGTCACGTGGCTTCTTTAAAGTGGTCGAAAGCTGTAGGTGAGATAATTTTTTGTGTTGGACCAAAAGTTTTAACGTTAAACATGTAACTACCCACACAGATGAAATTTCATGATAGTATAAGAAACAGTCATGCTTTCAAATGTCAGAGTTATCAACCAAGAAATGGGGTGTTCAAAAACTCGTATTTCCAAAACCTGTCGTAGAGTGGAACTCGTTGCCACCAAGCACAGTTGGGACATCATCACTAGAGAGCTTTAAACCCCACCTGCAATTAAAAGTGCAATGATTGAGTATAACAAGCCCTAATGGTGTGATATAGTTAGCATGCAATGCTGGTGTGTTACGCATAGTCCTGATTTTTAGAGCATGAGAAAAGAAAAACAAGACAGCCATTGCGACGCACTTTAGTTAATAAACAATTTATATATGCGCCACCATCAAACATTAAAGTAATTAACATAAATCCAATAAGGCATATAAATAACAAATAAATATAAGGAACATTAGCTCATAATATAAGCAGACAAAATGGCGTCAAATTGAATATAACTAAAAGCGCAGGTCCTGCCCCCACCCACTTGTCAATTCAGGTAGGACTCAAATTGAGTGAACTAAATCGTTAAATCCTGCTTAAATCTCCGACCTACAAAAACTGGTTACCACCACGCCGTGAAGACAAGTTGTCTGGTCGTGTGACGTACCGGTGCGTGTTCGACTCAGAACCAAAAGTTCGAATCCTACTTTGTCATCGATCTTGTGCCCTTGGGAAAGGCTCTCTATACGTACGACTTTCCTCACTTCACTCAGGTGAAAATGAGTACCTGCCTTTGGTTAGGGACGTTAAATTCAGGTCCAGTGTTTGCGGAGAGCCACATACCACGTACGTTAAAGAATTAAAGAACCCACCACACCTTTCGAAAAAGAATGAGGCATGCATGTCCTAAATAAACAAATAAATAAATAAAATAAATAAACAAATAAATACTCATCTGATGATTCACTACGGACTCCAGGAAGAATGTGAAATTCACACTAATGGATATCCTAAACAAAAAACAAGGTCCAGTAACCAGCTACACACCTTTAGATTTATAACTAAGATTTACAAAGAACTGGATCTTCTTCATGACCAAGTTGTTAAATGATGATAAAGCCTATAATTTTCAGATCTTGAATGTTATTAAAAATGCCAGATATTATACGAAAAATTGTATTCGTGGTAATATGCATTATGTATACTGTGTTTTAAGAAGTAAGTTTTCATTCAAGTAGTAAGAAGTCTCCAATTCAGCCATAAGGCTACAAAGACTTTCAACATGTATATGTATAACGTTATAAGTGGCATTACGTGAGCTGTAATGTGTTTTCATCTTCTGGTAATATTTCGCTGCTTGTCTAGCCACTCTTCTAACTGTAACTGGTTTACAGCTAATGGATATATATAGAGAGAACCTGCAACCAAGCAATTCCACTCAGACTAGTTCAATCACTTTTCAAAGCACGGTATTCATGTCTCCTACATTATAAGCCATCACTGCAACGTCCAGGACCTTATGAGATGCATTGGGGTGAATAATTAATAGTGATATTGAAGTAGAATTTATAACGCTATCCCGATGCAGCGGAAGACGACTACGTATTTTTCTGTATAAAGGTAGAACAAAAAAGAGGAATTCATTCAGTCATCTAATGTGTACCAGTAATAGAAAAACTACGTGAATTTATCTCCAGTTGCTTTAAAAAGAGAGAAGAAACCACCAAAGCCTAGATTAGATATTCTCTAGTAGTTGTTAAGACTTTTACATTATTCTTTTATCCTTGTATCCTATATATCATGCTACTCAGTATGATGTACATGTAACATCACAATCTGATGTATGCATTTAGCCCCATGGGCATGAACATGCAAATTACGATTCATTATTTTGAAACAGGATTCATGCAGGTCTCTTTTTGTTCTTTCAGGTATATGTATAGCAACCGAGGAGAAGATCTCCAGACGTTCAGCTGGCTCAGAGTTCCAAAGAGTCGTGATGAAGCTACAGGAGAAGTCCAACGCACGAGGAGTGGTGCTCTTCGCTAACGAGGACGACCTGCAAGGGATCCTGAGCGCGGCCAGAAACCTGAGTGCCAACTTCAGCTGGGTGGGGTCGGACGCCTGGGGGTCCAAGTCAGCCCCGGTCGTGAACCACAACGAAGAAGCAGAGGGAGCAATCACCATACTGCTGAAGAAAGTCAACATACCTGGTAAGTTTATTTGTTTATTGTTTATTTCAGGCCCATATTTACAAGCACATACACAAACACATCTAGAAAAGCATCAAAGTACCTACCACCATACTACTGAAGAAAGTCAACATACCTAGTTAAGTTTATTTGTTTATTGTTTATTTCAATCTCGACGGCCCATGTTTATGTTATTAGGAATCTCCTACAAAGTTTGTTTACTAGCCTTCCTGGAGTCCTTGACATTTAAAAGATGAAAAATAATCAATTACAAACTTTAATAGCTACAATCATATATAACACCAAACACAACAAACAGCTTAAATAGTGGTATAACAATAACAATCTTAACAACAATCTACACGTAGGCCTTATGAAGTAAGTTTAAACTGTAATTTCCAACACAACAAAAATTGGACTCACCCAAATTTTAGACTGTACAACTCCAGTCTTTTTCAAGGAATGAGCAATCCACCGCTTCCGTGACGTCACACAGATAACACGTGACTCCGTGAGCAGTGGATCATAGGTTGCAGAAAGTCTGTGGCGCCCCCCGTATCTGTTGAGGGATGGCTGTAAAGCCCTGATGTAGATGGCCTCTTTAATCCCTCGTGCAAAAAAGTCCGGTTCTGTGTCCAAGATTTTTACTTTGTCCAGTGAGACTGAATGTCCAGGGGATTCTATATGTATATGTTGTGAAACCTCAGAGGTAGTTGAGCTAGGTCGTTTGTGTTCTAGGAACCTAGCCTTGAGCGATCTTTCAGTTTCTCCGATATAGGTTTCCTTACATGGGCCCTTGGAATTCTGTCCTTGACACTGTATGTGGTACACCACCCCACAAAGCGGTGGATTGCTCATTCCTTGAAAAAAGACTGGAGTTGTACAGTCGAAAATTTGGGTGAGTCCAATTTTTGTTGTGTTGGAAATTACAGTTTAAACTTACTTCATAATGACTTCTACCAACACAGATGAACTTTCAAGATACACGTAGGCCTACTTGCTTATATGTTCAACAATTAAAACTAGCTTAAATAACATAAATAAATACACAAACACACCTAGAAAAAGCATCAAAGTATGCATTTTATGGTTGTAAAAACAGATTAGGGCTACCAAGCTGTCCTGCCACTAGAAGGCCCCTTTAAGGACGACGGACTAATCTACAATAGTGTCGCCAGAAAAGGCTAGAGAAGACCTCCGAACAGAGCAACAGTTTGATGATGGCCTTCCCAGACCCTATCAACCGAGAAGCAAACAAATACAACAATTCAAGGCTCTTGCCTCGGACTTGACGTCCAAAGTGTCAGCACAAAAAAACTCAATTACTGGTGCTTCTCGGTTGGGACAATGGAATTTTATCATACGCAAACCATAGCCTATAGATGGTTCCAGCTTTGTAGCTGGACCAAAGCTGAGCACAGTACATACTGTCATACATTGCACTACAGGGCAATATGAAGGGAATGCGCTCAGGTGTTAGAAGACATGTTTACAACTTCTGATCCAACAAAAATGGTTCTTACCTAGACCTTTTGGCCAGTCACTCTGGTCTTCCTCAGTAGACTGACCTAGTGAGGCTCGTCACGTGGCTTCTCTGAAGTGTGACGTCAACACGGTCAAAGTTATTTGGTAGACGATGTCGGCCCCAATCGCGGTTGAGTGAAGGGATATTGGCTCTGATGTAAGAAGATATTACGTGTGTTTTTTAATTTATATATATATATTCCCATATTCAAAATAACGTTGCTACATGTAATGGAATCATAGACTTGAGAAACTCTTGAGTTACTGTATATTCCTTTTACATTACCCCTAATTATCACGAGTATAAGGTATGATTTATATACGATTTAAGTACTCATGTTACCAGTACGTTGATTTATGTTATTATTTGTTATTTATTTTTATATTTTTGTATGCTCCCATAGAAATCATTTTAATGACTGATGGGGCAACTCACCTGCTTTCAAGATGAATAAATAAAACATTCGATGCACAATAAAGAGTAGAGTGTTTTGCTTACCCACTGTTAAATTGATGGATCATCGGGCGAGTACCAGGTTGCTAAGACGGGTCAGGCGTGAAACAGCAGATGAAATGAAGTATACTCACCCAGCGTCTCGATTCGGTTTAAGGTTAAATGTAATTTACGGTAAGGCCACACCAAGTAATACTTATGGATGACGTCCACTCGAGACCCCAAATCTAATGCGAGAGGGCGAAAAAAAACAAGATGTCTAGATTTAGAATATGCTAAGGGACGACAAATGTTAGGGCACAAATTGAAAAGAGAACACAAAGTAACAACCAACAAGTCTATTATTCGCCATGAAAACAGCAATAAATCAATGGATCAGCAGTTGTCGTCCTGTCTTCCTCATATTTCACGAGTTTTACGTTAATCTTACGATTTACAGCAATCTCCGTGACTTTTTTTTATTTACTTCATCGGTCACCTCAAAACTAGGCTTAAGGGAACTACTTAAAATGTTTTGGGTTACAGAACTGCCAGGGAGGACAGATGTTTGTTGACCTTGTATGTAGACTTGAAGAGTTTAAGGTTATTCTCATAGGGGAAGCAATCACGAGGTAGCTTATTCCAAAGTGATGTTGTTCTTGGAAAAAAGCTTTCAGCATGGAACTCCCTTATAAGAGGTGGTGAATGGAGGAAGAAAGGGTAATTTGCTTCGGTGGAAGTGGCAAGACGTGTCCTTGTTGAGAGTTTTAGAAGTTGGGGCCCTAGCGAATGAAGTTCCACAGAGCATTTCTTGTTTTATATTCTGGCAACAGGCCGTCTTCCATCCGTTACTTGGTGTGGCCTTACCTTGCTCCGGAGGTGTTCGTTGATTCAGATAAGAGAGTAATCCTTAATCCTGAAGGGCTACCCTGGAACTAAGACGGGATATCATTTTACCAGGAACGGGAGAAAGTGTTCATTTATCTTCACTTGATTCCTTCTACCTCAAGCTCCTGCGTCACAAATGGGTAATTACGATGCTATCTATGGGGCCATTTCACCTTTTAGCGGCAGTTACTTTGATACATTCGATTGCCAGCCTGTTTTTTGGACATCATTTCTCGTTTCAAATGACAGCAGTCTAAAACCATGTCGGGCGTATTAGAGTTAAAACAGGACGAAAGACAACTTTAGTATTGTCGGTCTACATCTACGATTGTAGGTCTGTTTTTTGGGACATCATTTTTTGTTTCAAATGACAGCAGACCAAAACCATGCCTTCCGTATTAGTTCACAAAATAGGACTAAAGAAACTGTAGTATTGTCTTTCTACCTTTACGATTGCCAGCCTGTTTTTTTGGACATCATTTCTCGTTTCAAATGACAGCAGTCTGAAACCATGTCGGTCGTATTAGCGTTAAAACAGGACGAAAGACAACTTAAGTATTGTCGGTCTACATCTACGATTGTAGGTCTGTTTTTTGGGACATCATTTTTTGTTTCAAACGACAGCTAGCAGACCAAAACCATGCCTTCCGTATTAGTTCACAAAATAGGACGAAAGAAACTATAGTATTGTCTTTCTACCTTAACGATTGCAGGCCTGTTTTTGGGGACATCATTTTTCGTTCCAAATGACAGCAGTCTGAAACCATATCGGTCGTATTAGCGCACAAAAAAAGACAAAAGACAACTTTAGTGGTGTCGTTCTACATCTACGATTGCAGGTCTGTTTTTTGGGACATCATTTTTCGTTCCAAATGACAGCAGACCGAACGCATGTCGGTCGTATTAGCGTAGAAACAGGACGAATGACAACTTTAGTATTGCCACTCTACATTTACGATTGCCAGCCTGCTTTTTGGGGACATCATTTTTCGTTTCAAATGGCAGCTGACCGAAACCATGTCGGTCGTATTAGCGTTAAAAAACGGACGAAAGACAACTTTAATATTGTCGTTCGACATCTACGATTGCAGGCCTGTTTTTGGGACATAATTTTTCGTTTCGAATGACAGCGGGCCGAAACCATGTCGATCGTATTAGCGTAAAAAGCAGGACGAAAGACAACTTCAGTATTGTCGTTTTACATCTACGATTGCAGGCCTGTTTTTTGGGACATTATTTTCCGTTTCAAATGACAGCAGTCTGAAACCATGTCGGTCATATTAGCGTAAAAAACAAGACGAAAGACAACTTCAGTATTGTCGTTTTACATCTACGATTGCAGGCCTGTTTTTGGGACATCATTTTTCGTTCCAAATGACAGCAGATCGAACGCATGTCGGTCGTATTAGCGTAGAAACAGGACGAAAGACAACTTTAGTATTGCCACTCTACATTTACGATTGCAGGCCTGCTTTTTGGGGACATCATTTTTCGTTTCAAATGGCAGCAGACCGAAACCATGTCGGTCGTATTAGCGTTAAAAAAAACGGACGAAAGACAACTTTAATATTGCCGTTCGACATCTACGATTGCGACATCTACCTGCTTTTAGGACCTCATTTTTCTTTTTAAATGACAGCAGCTTGATAACATGTCCCCCGTATTAGCGCTCACAACAAGACGAAAGAAACTTTTTATTCTACATCTATGACTATGTTGATGAAGGTTAGACATCCAGGTAAACAATACTCAAAGGAAATTAAGAGTCTAATACCTGATAAATTACGGAGATTGCCCGGACGTTTCGAGTGACATCCATTTGCTCATATATATATATGTATAATCAACGAGTTCTTTTATTAATTAGTGATGTTCCAACATAGTAGAGCTACAGCATCTCAATGGCAATTCCCTATGTTCCTTACTACTTCGAGGGTCCACATCACTCTCACACCTACAAAACAATAATTTTTTTGATGTAGTTCAAGACTTCATTTACTGTACGGGTAGATTCTCGTAATTGATAGATCACCAACGTGCCTTGACTGTATTTATCTTGGTTTTATCCACCTTGTCATTATGCATGTATCTTGTCAATGTGTTTTATACTCAATGTGTGTTCTTGAGTAGAAGGTGTCAAATAAGCAACTTTTACTTTTTGCCTCATACTCAATAG